CACTTCCACAGAGCCATGGCATCAAGGTGAGCTCCTCCTGCAGACTATCTCTAGGGGACAGATAAACGGCCATCTTGGCTTCACTGTTTAAAAAATTTTAAATTTGGGCCTTCGGCTTATTTCTTCTGTTATACTAAACTTCTCCTACAAAAAGAGCGTTGGTAAAAATGTCCCAAAAAGTCTAAAAACACAAATTAAAAGGCTAAAATTGTCTTTAGTCTTGTGCATTCTATAAAAACATAGAACACGTTTTCAGACAGACAGCAGAATTTTGATAAAATATAGCGGCGCTCCAGGGCAGTGACCAAGAGCAGCTCCTCTCGACAATTTCACAAAATATGCGGCTTAAAATAATACAAACTAGACATCAAATCCGCATCTATGATCGGCAACACCTGCTGGAGCTACGGTCACAAAATGTTTTAAATACTGACATTTTTGACCGAGCGGGCTGCAGAGGGGGGCTAACTGCGAAGTTAAAGAAAGATCCCCACAGACCACCACTTCCATCATTCCTGATTTCCAACATCCGCTCATTGGAAAACAAAATGGATAATTTCGGACTTGAACTCTCTTCAAAAAAGGAGGTATGTACTGTAACTGCTGCGCCATCATTCTGACGGGGTCTTGCTGAGTCCAGCAGTCCCGGACGGTGCTGTTGGCCTGGGGGGGGTTGATGCTGTACCACGCCAATAGAAACAAAAGCTCTGCATGAATGGAGGCTCTTCTCAGGCTGTTCCCAGGCACTCTTCAGAATCTAGAAGGGAAAAACACCCAAGAACACCCAATCAAGTAGTTTTCCTTAGATAGAAAAGTGTGAATCAATTTGACTGTGTGATCTGGTAAACTGTAAAGTGCCTTGAGATGACATGTAAATTGTTGCTATATAAATGAAATGAACCTCTGTTTGTTTGATAGTGCAGCAGCTGAAGCAAGAAAAGTCTGAAGCTAGTTAGCAGGACTGTGGTTCTTCCAATGATACCTCAGAACAGATTTGATCCAAAGAAGGTGAAGCTGACTTTCAAGATCCAGCTGTTTATTCAAAGATCAGACTTTTCCTCTACAGTTCTCAAAGTTCTTTACCCCAGAAATGATCCACAGTAATACCAATTTCCTCCTACATGTTATGATCCTGGCACTGATGGCTGTATTTGGCTCTTTTTTCCTATCTGCTTAGCTTCGCCCAGCACTCATTGTCACTCATCAGATTCACCTGTTTCTGCTTTATGTTTAAGCCATGTGTTTCCAGCCACCTGTGCCAGATTATTCAAGCCAAGTGTGAGAGTTTTCTAGCAATATGTGTGTTTCTGATTATCTGATCCTAAATGGTTTCTGTCCTCGGACTTCTGAGTTTTGATTGCCCCAGTTCTGCTCATTTACCTGATCTGTTTTTGGAGTGTTATCTGGATTCTGCCTGCTAATGACCTTGGACCTGTCTTCTAACCCCCGCTTGGATATCCCTTCGGCTCTTCTTCGGACTTCTGATCTTCTTGCCTGGAAACCTGTTCCTGCTTCGACTCTGCCTTCGGATTATCCCTCCAGATTTTTTCTGCTCCTCTGCATCCTCTGGCTTCTGCTCATTGTTGCTCTGCTTCTCTCCTGGAACTCTGGAAGCGGCTTCTGCCGCAAGCTACTGAGAAATAATCCCTCTAGACTTTATTCTGTCTTCTAGGCTCAGACTAAACTTTATCAGGTTAGTGACTTACACGGTCATTAGCTTTTGTTATCTACTTAAATTCTGGGTCCTATGTTCTGAGCTTCTGAAACTAAAAGGACGATTTTCCAAAACAACTTACCACAAAAAAATGTTTATTCTAAGCCAGGCAGAGGAAGGGGTAGATAAATCAGGACTAAGGCTCTTGCCAACATGATGGCAGAATTTTTAAAAAGAACTTGAATCATGAATCCCATAAACTTTTATATCTTTGGCCCACTCGTGCAAGGAGCATCCACTTCCTCACACTTTAGTAGCGCGATGTGTTACCACATGGGGTGTTATCTAATAGACTGTTTAATTGGCAAGTTTCTAATCTATAAATGCTGGTTCTTCTAATTCAGCCCAGTTACAGGTGTTTTGTTCCATTTATTAAACACAGTCTTGGCTTCCCAGTATCTTTCCATTTTCTCCAACCAAAGGTAATTTTAACATGTGGTATTTGTTAATAAAGATGATTATAATATGAGTAGGACAAACTAGCTACTATTAATGAAGTATGCATATAATGTTCAACAACCTAAGTAGTTTAAGGTCTAATAAGTTTTTTTTATGAATGATAAAGATTATTATAACACAGCAAACTGAATGTTTATGGATAGTCTTTAGCCCACTCTCTTGTATCCATGACAGAAAATCCCACACATTATCCACCCCCCCTCCACAAAAATGTTTAATATAACACAGCACAGCTGTAAATATGCGCTTTACTATGGACATCGATAGTCCAGTTTTTCCACTGTGTAATATGTTTGTAACACAACAAACCAGCTTGCAGAAAATAATTTATGGTGTCAAGGAAAATTTATTTCTTCAAGTATATACAGCTAGCTTCTTTCTTGGAGTACTAATTAGTGCTGGGATAGGTGGTGACACAGCAGGCAAAAGCAATAATACACCAAGCTTTGAATGCAAGCATTAAAGAGATTAAAGACACAAGTTTTAGTGTAAAGCACAACGGAAAGACTGCATAGGAGACCCCCTGACCCCCAACAAAAAAAAAAAAAACATTCAAGAGTTTCTGCTTTGGTAAAGAAAAGCTAGGAAATACTGTTATAATGCTCACAACGAGATTTATAATTTTGTAGGGGAAGGAAACACTGATAAACAAATTATAAAAATTATACTTATCTGGTGTGATACTGGACTATTGATATGATTTAAGGAAATAATTAGCTTTAGGAATGAATCTGTTTCAGTCTGCACTGAATGGAAAAGAAGCTGGTCATCTACCGAATTTTTACTGCAAGGCAGGTGGCCCCTAGGATTAGAGGAGCATATTTATAGATTTATATATTTTTGTATTTACCACATTTAACAGAGAAAAACAGAGAAAGTAAACTTTTTGGAGGGGGGCATAAATAAACTGGAGGACCAATATTGTGAGCATTGACCCAAAGAACACCCCCCCTAAAACAAATCCCTGAACAGTAAACTTTAACTTAAATATTTGTACATTTTACATTTTCAAGCAGCTGTGACTTTGAGAAAGTCTTCACAATCTTCTATTTTATTAACAGTATTTAAAACAAAAATAACATCAATAATCCAATAATATTCACATAATAATCTCTCCAGTTCCAGGAAGGCAACAGTATGTAAAGCTACATATTGCATGAGAAGAGGTATATGATCACAAAGATGGTTTTACTTCTGTATTAAGTCCATTAGGTTTCATTACATGGATTTAATCAAAATATCCCACAGTCGGTCATCACGTTATCCAGCACCAATTTAGCATCAGTGAAATCCAGCAGGCTATGGAGATTAGGGAGCTCGCATTTAGAGTTTTGATGGATTACAGCTTGTTGTAGTGTGACTCGCATAACAACACTGATAGTTCAGTCAATCTTCTTTTGAGAGGCTTGGGGTGACGTTTGGTGAAAGGTGACAAGTAAGGGTTTGCTTCCTATTGTAAAGAGCAGCTTTCCTCCATAATAAAATCCATAATAAAATAAAGGCTCAACTGTTTGCATTATTCTACATAAATATTTGGAGTTGAATAGGAGCTTACAGAAATCCACTTAGTTTTAACTGAAATCAAGCCTGGTACGTTGCAGATAAATGATTACTTACACTGGAAAAAACAACTTTTAAACCCACTTTCTTAGTGAAAAAATTTCTAATCTTATTGATAGGGAAAAGTGACAGCAGATGTTAAAAACAACTCAGCTATCCACACATCAAAATAAACCAAAGCAAGTTATTCATCTTTGATATTATGAATGTTTTAAATGGCACAATTGGAGCCATAATATTGAAGTGGAAATATAAATATTTCAACATAAACCCGCTAGGACCAGTTACCCTGTTCCAGTTTTCTGAAAGATCTGTAAAAACAAATCTAAAAAGCTCTGCAAAAACAAAGCACATCTTGTTGAAAGCCTTAGGAAGACTTTAGAATAGCAAGCTGCACAAGACTCCATTAATGAAGAAAAAGCATATAGAATCTAATTTAATGTTAGCCAAGCCAGTGATGCTGGTAGAATACCATGTACTTAAATTAGGCCAAATTGGATCTCTTTGGGTATCAAAAAATATAGATGCTGTGTTTCGAGGAAGAATTTTTTTTTTTTTTTTTTTGCATTATTCCCAAAACAACAAGCAAAAAGAGAAGCTAATCCACTCAGATCAAAGACAGTGCTCTAAAAATGTAATTTCCCCCGTTATGATTTTATTCTTTAAAAATATCTATCCAAACTAAAATAGGCCTTTGTGATATTATTATTGTCCTCAGTACTTAAGGTCGTCCAAATGATTCTCCACAATTTGGATGATAATATTCTTTGGACTGTGAAGGAAAATTTACATTTTTTTTAGGGTTTGCATCCTCTTAAATATGGTGTGAAAGTACCACATCATTAATAAAAAAGGTGTAAGGTGATGGTCAATTTTTTTTCCTGCTCTCTAACTATAGCAAACATTTCTGGCCATCTGTTTGTGATCTAATTTTGAAGCATTCAATAAGTCAACCTCTATAGAGCTACAAACTGAAAAAATTAAATGGTTTTGGACTGGCCAAGCCAAAGATCAAACTTAGACAGAACTAAGATGCATGACCTTAAACAGGCTGTCCATGACATAGGCCTTTTTATAAGGCTTTATTAAAACAGGTCTGTGAAGAAGCTAAGGCCAAACTTCCTTTACAGCAATGGAAGAGATTCTGGTTCTAATTCAATTTAAAAAGTTCTTACTGCCAAGGGTGCCATACTAAACTATAAAGCCTATAGAACACCTCTTTTTTTATATGGGGTCAGGTAAATTATTATTATTATTATTATTTTTTATAAAATTATTTAAAAACCTGGTTTTCCACTTTTGGCTGGTTCTCACTGCTAAGATGACAATCTTAAATTTGGGAAGAAAACCCGCTGACATCAGATGACCTCAGCGAAGAATAAGAACAAGCTTTAAGGGCTGTAGAAGCACGCCTTATTGGGGTAGTTTTGTGAATAAGTTTTACGCCAGGAGGTGCTAGACTAAGATGATTTAAAGTTTAGATAGAAAAACTCCCAACCCACATTAGATATGTACGTGAAATAGTTTATTTAAATTATATGTATTCTGTGATTAATCTCAGACCTGTAAACTCTAAGCCATTTATTAGGCCGGCATTGCTGAGTTAGAGTGGTATATCTCATTTTTAGCAAGTTGTCCCTGATGTTTGATCAAATTTTTACCTTTCTTCTCCTCAATGTTGTATGGAACATGTTTCTTAGTCAGGGTTCTATTTAAAAGAACTTAAATTTCTGTATCTAATAGTGATGTTTTGATTTGTTTATTATCAGAGGAAACTAAGAGCTCAGATTGGCTTCAGGACTTAACTCACAACCATTGATGTGTATTAAGAACCATGATGATCAAAATATTAGAGATGTTTTCAGCTGCAGTTTTTAGATGCTGACATTAGTTGCCTAACATTAATCCCTACGTTCTCCTTAAACATAAACTATACTGGTATTTTGTTCATGTATTCATTGTATTCTACCCTCACAATTGCAGAGAACTTGGATGGGTTTTATTTTCCACATGCACCAATCTGAAACAACTTCATGCATAAACCAGACAGGGTTTTGGTCTAGGTGCCCTAGACTGGTGTTGGAAATTTGCAGCTATACACAATTATATCTATAAATTGAAACAAAATAGAGGAACATTTTCATTTTACCTGATTTGATAAAAATTGTGCTTTTTTTTGCTGATGATACAATATCTCTGAAGGCATTAATTCCAACGTCTAACACTCCCAATGTGAGAACTAGAACCCCCAAGGTTTGATATGATGATGTCATTTGGACAAATTTCTTGAAAGTGTGTGTTACTTCTTTAATTGGAGGAGATGGAGGTGGTGGCTAACTGAATAAGATTAGAAAACAATCTATCAAAATGACTACAGGTGAATTTAAGCAAGGATCTTTGTTTAATGCTTGTCTATGCTGAAAGGACCCAGTTGAAGTCGGTGACCATTATGTGCAGATACTTTTAAGAAGCGTGCAAAAACTATATGCTTCTGACATGTTACTCAAAAGTTCTACCTGCAACGCAGGGTGAATGTTATAGGGATCTGGTGGGAGAGCTGAACGAAGCAAAGGTCAGAAATGTTTGCAAGGAATTGATTAATTCTAATATCCACTTTAAATTGAAATTCTTGTCTTCTGAAAACGGCAACTGCTATTCAAGGCACTCTCACAGGTGTTTTTGCACCTGAGGATAAAGTTCAAGCTCATTCATTTTTTTTTTAAGAATAACACAAGCGCTTGTGCTGGAAGTATCTAACTGATGAAGAATGAAGCATCTCTGTATACTTAGCTAAGAAAGCAGAGCAAAGCAACAGGTCCTACTGACCAGGAGGTCAAGTCTTCACAGTGATGGCAAAAATGGTTGCTGATAAGGTGCAGCACTAATATCCACAGCTGCAACACCTAACCATTATTATCCTTTTCTTAACTGTACAAACACATACGCATTGTACATTAAAACAAAAAATAATATATACACATGGCAGCTTCTATATATAAATATATGAGGTGAAATGAGCAACTACATGAAGTACAAAATGAATGAACATTACATTATGGACATTCTGTGAACATGAATGTACATTAATAAACAATGACAGATTTCTGCACTTCAAGGCTGATCTGGCTAATTTAAGTCCTTAAATGAAACTTGAAGAATTTTAACTACATAATGAACATAAAGTATGATGACTCAAATAAAACAAAGGGAATACATATAAAGAGCAAAGATGGGTATATACATATTAAATACATGCTGGTTAAATATATACACTCTATGCACATAATATTGACTACAGCAGCTGTATTATAAGTTAAGGTTTTGATAACGGAGTTGGAAGACACGATGCTGCCCAGATTAGAGTGTCTTTGCCTTGGGGTCAGCCAGCTGATGAGATGGGGATGAAACAGGGCTGGAGTGGGTGGAGGGCATGGCAGGAAAGGCAAAAACGCCTGTGGAAACCGGAAAGAAAAACCCAGGCCACTGATTGAAGGAAAGAGGGGAGGGCAAGGCTGTGAATGCAGCAGGAGAATGTAGCTGATAAGTGTGAAAGGGTCCTGCAGGAGGGCTGGTCATCCCTGTAGCCTCAGGGCTGTCAGGCCAGGATTTGGCGCAAGCCTCTGGACTGGGTAACGTCCACGGTGGTGCCTGAAAAGGTAAGGAAAAACAGTCAATAGAAAACTGTAAATAACTATAGCATCCCAGTTATTTCTGAAAGTATCACAGAACCCACATTTGAAGCCTGAAGTGGCAGTTCAAGTGTTTGAGGCACAACCCGAGGGCACGGCTGCTGCCCACGGACATTCAGAGAGTCCGTACACGGCCGGTGGGTCACAATCAGAACCTCCTGTGCCCAGTCGTCCATCAGACCTTGGAGGTCTTCAGGCAGGTTATTATCACTGGGATTCATAGATGTACTTGTTTTGTTATTGCTGTTGTTAGCCTGAGCTTGAGCCAAGCCAACAACAGGCTGTTGAGGAGGTGGTGTAGCGCTATGCATTTGCTGTGACTGATTGAAAGTTCCTGATGCTGAGGCCCCAGACCCTGACAAAAAAAAAAAAATGTTTAGGTAATAGTCATTAAGGTGACTTGAGGGATAAAAGGAATTTGATTTGAATTCATGTAGAGTAATAAACTGTAATTTCACATACTGTTGCCTCTCTCTTTGCCAATACACAGCCTTTTCAGCGTTGACCCTGTAGAATAGAAAATACTTTAGGCAAATAGCTGTCCAAATTGAGTCTTAGAGATCGAGTGCTATGCAAAATAACGGACAAATTAAGGAAAAGCATAAAAACATAAAACATGTACAGGCGGAAACAGGCCTCTGAAATATGATGACCATACATGCATTTAAGAACCATGACAAGAGTTGTTTCTAGAGCATAAGCAGAGCAAACAGAAACTAATAGGGACAGGCAAAAATATGTCAATTTGCTGCACGCTATGAACAGACCTTAGTATATGCATTGCAAGTTGAATCATAGGAATGAATATCCTACTATGAAACAACATAGTGTTTTACAGTTCTTAGCCAAAGTATTCATACCCCTTAAGGACTTGAATGTCTCTTTACGTTATCAAATTATAATTTATGTTAACAGACTTTGATCTAATAGATCAAGAAAGCACATGTGAAGATCAATTTATCGCCTGTCTTGACCTGATATTTAATTTTAACCATAGTGAAACATGAATAATCCTTTGAACTGTGTTCAATGAATTTGGTGATGACACACTCAAGAGCAGCATTATCACTTCAGTCAAGTATCATCTTCCAAGATAGAAATACTAGAGAGCCAAGAGCTTTTTTCCATTGTGGTCCTCTGAAAACCAAACACTTAATAAAAAACATACAGGAAGTATCTGAATCATCACATTCAGTAAGTTTTTGTTGGCTCTAAATTTCATTAAAACTGTATCAGAAGGATGAATTCAAGTGCTAACCTTTTGTTTTTCCTTTACTTTAGGTTTAACATAAGACGTGATAAACTTTAAAGTATATGAATATTATAGATAATAACTTTATCACTACATATTGAAATGTGCAGTAACACATGTTACAGCTGAAACAAACATTGATCATCAAAACATTAAAACTTGGAAAGAACACAGCTTTTACAAAATAACTGATCATTAGTGTAATACTTAAAGTATAGATGCATATCAGATCTATTTTTTTGTTGTTGTTGTTGTTGTTGTAAATGTGCCAACAGCATGTAGAAAAAGCTTTAGAAAGAAATCCTTAAAATCCTTTGAAAGGGTTTGAAAAAACAATATGAAAAAAAGATTGGAGATTGAATATAGGTGAATAATGTAAAGCAAAAGTAAAATATTCACAACTGTGGGATACTTTTGGGAGAAAAAAATGTGTTATGAAGAGGAATAACTTAATGTAAAACCAAATCACACAGAAGCTATGCAGGAAGAAAAGAGATACAAACAGATAGACAAAGACACAGGCCCACTGAGAAATCTAGCTCGTGGTTTGCTACTGGATTTATAGGTCACTCTCTCAGGTGGTTGAGGGGGATTAGACCAGCCTGTAGAGGGAAATAATGAAGGTAAAGAAGATGACTGACAAATACAGGCTGCAAAAAACAGTTATCACTTTTCTTTCTTTTGCTAAAGTGTTTTTATTGGTACCTTGTGCTGGTTGAGCTTGTGTGCCAGACACGTCTCCATGTAGTCCAGCATAAATGTTGTCAGAGGACAGAGAGCCTTTCAGAGAGCAGGGCTGCTGCGTCTGCACAGGCTCTGAAGCTGAGCTAGGTAGATGGCTGGTCCGTGACCGTGGCCTGCCGTGGGCGGGGAAGGCGTTTTTACCTGGCGAGCCGTTTAAACTCACTGCTGGTTCGGTTGGAGCTGGAACCACACCTGGAAGCACAACCATAAGAGTTATATTGATCCTTATCTGAAATAAAAAATATGGAAGTCATTTCAATTAGAAAAAGTGGCTCACCAGATTTAGAGGAGTCACTGCTTTTGGTTTTGACATGCCTAAATTGCTGAACTAGAGGGCTGAGAAGTTTTCCTGGCTTCAGCTTGTGTTTGCTGGACCTCTTTCTGCGGCTTGTATGCGGTGCAACATGTAGGAGGCCTAGACCAGGTGGAGGAACCTTACCAAGTCTGCGATATAGCAGCTCCACCTCTCCTCGCTGAAATGCTTGCAGCTCTGAGATCTCCCGCAGATGTCTGAATGGATAGAGGAAGGATTTGAGTAATCAGAATCTAAACAGAAGAAGTTTGATGTCACTAATCTGCAGTGGCTTGCAAAAGCCTCCAGTTAACTTTTTGTTATGTTAAAACCAAAACTATCAATCTACTTTGAAGGGTTTTTATTACATAGAACAACAGAAAATACTGAATAATTTTAAAGTTTAAGGAACACGACACATGCTTTCAAAAAATACATCTTAAGCATGCATTTGTATTTGCACCCCTAAATCAATGGTTAGCAACAAATTCTCCTAATCATTTGATTGATTTCACCTGCATCAAATTGATTTTAGATTTCATACAAATTTGGTTTAAGGGATCTACCTTTTAGGTTGGCTAACTGTAAAGAGGACAACAGTTTGCTGGGAGCTCCACAAACCTGGCTAAAACATAGTTGACTTGTTATAATAGAGGCATGAGGAGAGTCACTTAAAGATAACAAGACCCACACTGAAACATTGTGATGGATAGTACAATATTTTAGTGGGTGCTTTTTAAAAGCAGGCATGCTGGTTGGATGGGATGAGAAGATGGCTAAAACTGAAAAAAAAGAAAACCTAAATGAAATCCTGTTAAAGGTGTCAAAAGACTATTCAATGGAAAACTGTCTCATCCTCTACAAGTCTATGTAAAAGTGGAGGGTAGATTTGAATTGGCTGGAAACCATGTAGGTAATACAGCAATCATTTTGAAGAGGGAGCTCTAGCAGAAAATGTATACTGCGCATCAACCCGAACACCCAACTACACCTACGAACACATATTTATTTATTTTTTCCCAGTGTTTTATTGTCATTAGACTGTCACAAGTACACAGCAACAAAATGAACTCTCTGCATTTAACACATCCCTTTGGGTAGCAGTGGGCTGCCATTGTGCGGTGCCCATGGAGCAATGTGGGGTTAAGGGTTTTGCTTAGGGACATAGAGTGGCAGTCTGTGGGAGTGGGGCTCGAACTCGGAACCTCTGGTTTCCAAGCTCTATGCCCTAACCACTAGGCTGTGACTCCCCTGTAAATGGCATATTAGTTGCAGCATTATGTTGTCTGAAGCTTTTCTGAAAGAATCTGCGAGAGGGAACGCCTATTAAACGTGTGCAAGAGCATGCATGAGCCCATTTCTCCTTTTCCACACTCTGTTTAAAAGTTTCAGTTTGCATCGCTTGTACAAGCTTACTTTCCAAAAGAAGATTTGCTTTTTTTCCACAATATCAGCCTCACAGCCGGTAAGTGAAAATGGGGCGGAGCACATAGGACAGACTTTCCTAAACATATCATCAGAATGATTGATGATTAGTAGGAACACTTATTTTGATGGTACATCCTCCACTATACCTTTATTCAAAGAAATCTTAGGAGAACCTAATAAGGCTCACACCCAGCCAGATTTAAAATGGAGGTTTAGGAGTAAAGAATAATTGTGTTATAGGATGGCCAAGATATCTAGACCTAAACATAACTTAGAATCTATGAAAAGACTTATAAAAATGTGATAAATATTCTCTTGAAGTTTTTTGAAAATGGCAATTTTAAAAATCTGAAAATCATGTATAACTTCTATGAAACTTTACAGTTATACAAAGTATTGTGATATTTTATCATATAAAAACCCAAAGCATAGAATTAGATGTTTTTTAAACCATGACTAAATTAAAATGTATGACTACTTGTGCATGGCATTGCACATTGTAAGAAGGAAAATCCTACTTCTCCCTGAGTCTCTGTAGTTCCCTCTTTATGTCTGAGTCCTCCATCTCTGAGTCATTGTCGCTGCTAGCATAGGCGGAGACGGGTACACCTCCATGTCTGCTCGGTGAGTCAGAGCTCTGCACACTGCTGCTGCGGCCAGTGCGACGGAGAAAGGCCACTGCCCTTTTCATGAGGTCACTTCCTCTGCGCTCAGAGCGAGGCTGCTGGGATCCAGCAGCAGGGGCCAGCTTGGCAGGGCTGCTCTCTGCCCCTGAATCTGTAAAAAGAAGGGAGTAGGGGCTGTGAAATCCACATGGACAGAATTTGAGGCCTGATTCTAAGCCAGGGGACTTGCTCTTACCCATGGGAGGAGGAGTGTCCAGGTAGAAATCAGGCGGTGCAGAGTAGCGGCTGCAGCGTGTTCGCTGAGTGATCTCATCTTCTGTGCTCACCACAGAGAAACGTCCGATGGTGGTGGAGGTAGCCAAGGCTTCAGCTTGAACCTGGTCTCCACTGTATCCACCAGGGTGTGCAGGGGATGCCGCGCTGCTCCAGCTCCTCTGCTTCACATCTCTTCTGTTGGCCACTTCAGGAGGAACAGAGATGATCTAGCCAAAAAAAATATAAGGCCATTCATCAAACCACAAATTAAGAGAAAAAAATCCTGGAGGTAATTTAGTTTCAACTAAGTCAGGAGATGGGACGGACATAATAAAATCCAGCTTTAGTAAAACTGGAAATCATCAACAGAGAAATAAATTATTTTTCAATAAATTTGTCGTCTGTGACACACACGCAGACGACCTGGTTTCTGAGCATAAACCAGGCTTTAAGGGCTGGTTATACTCCCCGCAGCAGTGTGTTGCACTGAGCTTGTCGCAGATATTTTTGATTTATGCCCAATATTGAAGCATGGTGTGCGCTATGTTATTCCATGCCACAAAGGAAGAGGGACAATCACTAACTAGCTGTGGGTCTAGATACGTCCGAGGCGGTGAGGAAGTGGTGGCAAGTTTGTGCAACAACACAGAGAGATAAGGGCGAAAAAGTGGAAAAAGGGTTCCAGATGGAAAAAAGGGTCCCAGCATTCACGTGCACCTCGCTCTTCTAGCTTGTCCATCTTCACAAGTTGTTTTCCTGAGTGGCGGTCATACAAACAAAACAAGCTGCTAAGGTACCACACAGGAAATACGGATAGTGTTGAGCGGATGTAGATTTTGCCAATCAGAGGCCTACTGTCTGCGGCACTGTCTGCGGTCACCTACAATTTTGGAGAGGTGCAGCAAACTGTGACAGGGGCAGAGATACATTTGTATTCACTGCGACACACAGGCAGACGAACTGGTTTCTAAGTATAAATCAGCCTTCAAGGTGGTCGTGGCCAAATCGCTCAACGTGCATGAGCAAATTCTTCTTCTTCTTCCTCTCAGACGAAAAAAAACACAGAAGCATGGGGGGGGTGCGGAATGGAGTTCTTTCTGCAAAATTGACAGACTGCATGTAGTAGCCACGTTTACTCATTTTTATGGCTTTCAGCACACAAAATTGCACAAATTGCCACGGCATTTCACCCAAGTGAGCTTTATATTTACCAGGAGGTATCAATACTTTCTTTTTTTTTTCTCTTCTACTCGTTTGGGTTCTGGATAGATGACTTAGACTAGCACTATCTCACTGCGGAGCTTTGTTGAACATGGTTTTTAGACGTACAGTGTGAGCAGGTAGATCCCATCAGAGCCTCGGGCCACACAGTGTAGGAACATACATTGTGTGCTGTGAACTTAACCCCTGCGGTTTCGTCGTACAGTGTGAGCTGCAGCTAAATGCAACGACTGAAAAAATCGTACAGTATATACCCGGCTTTACTTAGTAGCCTTTTTACCAAGTAGTACTTTTTTACTTTTACTTGAGTATTATATTAGATAGCTACTCTTTACTTCTATTTGGGTACATTTTTAATACTCTAGCCACCTCTGAACATTCTCAAATGTGCAATAAAATCAAGTAAGTATTGTATGAGGTCTAAAATATGACGTTTAAATGCAACGATCTTTGTTTACATGAGTAAAATATTAAACGTTTGCATACTTGACCACATACAAAGAAAATAACGATGCATAAAAAAACCTAATCTTTTTTCTTTGTTTACCTTAAATCGACCCCGAGTTCCAGTGCAAGACAAAGAGTGAGGAACGTGTCTTCTTGACAATGAAGCTATGAAACAATAAACAAAACACTGAGTACAACAAACTGCTATGTTAGATTTTGTGAAAAGATTAGCTGTACGCACCACTAACAGCTGAGTCACTCAGAGTGCTCAGACTGTCCATTCTCTCAGGAATTTGAGGCTTGTTGGGGAGATAAAACAAAAGATGAAGAAGGAAAAAAAGAGAAAGAGTTAGATTAGAAACAAACCTTTTTATAACACCTAACAAAATGACTGCTGGAAACGTTCAGTAGCTGCACCACAGTAGAGGAGTTCTAAGCATTTGTTCAGCAAAGTAATTTTTTCTCCATCTATGTTTAATTATACTCACCAGTTGTTCCCCTGCCCTGTAGCGTCCCTCCCCTATTGGCCCTGGGGTGCTGTTTCCAGACCCTCCCGTAGCGCTATCCGGGCCAGGAGGAAACTGAATGTACTCTGTCCCTGATCCCGGTGTCTCTGCAGCACTGCCTGAAGGATACATGGGAGCATATTCCTGGTAGAGCAGGTTCCTCAGTTTTTCATCCAAAGTTTTAATAGTGCTATCAACAAAACCTCCTCGACCAACCCGTCCTTCACCGTCAGACTCGCTTGGCCCAGCAGCATGCTGGGATGGTGCTGGGCTCTGGGGGAGGGAGGACACCTTTGAACCTCCCACAGCAGAAAAGGGCTGGTGGAGAACCACGGGCTGCTGTGGCAGGTCGCTGCGTGTTGCTGGAGCATAGGAGACAGAGGTCGGTTCTTTGTTGGCACTCAGCTCCTGGAGGGGGAGAGGGGTCAGAGGTGACCTGCTCTGCTGAGGGTTAACATCCAAAGACAGAGGCATAACAAGGGGACAGCAGGGCACCTCATCAGCCATTGATACTGAATGGGTCAAATCAAGGACCTTCTGAGTCTCGTGGGAAGGGGAGGGAGCTCCAAGAGGAGATCCCTGTGAATCCTCCACTTGGTACGAAGTATGGGGTAATGAAGGGGGAAACGTCTGAGCTCTGGCTGGGTTGGGCACAGGCAGGCTAGGCTGCAGAGAGCTACCGGCAGGCTCTATTGCAGACACTGATTGAAGAGCTGGGGGTGCAGATACCGGAGGAGACAGGGTTTCCAAAAGGAGGGGGTCTGTGTTTGATGTTATTGGAGGACTGTAGAAACCATAAAGTTCATGAGTGAACCCTCCACTTCCACCAGACATGGTGGAGGATGAACCCTCTTCTAAAAAAAAATTTACAAGAAAAAAGAAATTAAATGCACAAATTCATTCAGAAAAGGGCAAGAAGAAAGTAAGATATGGAAATGTTTTACTTTTTCATGACAGAGCTTTTGCAAATATTTCTATCCTAAAAATGAAAGTTTTCTGAAGTATTGCTCACAATTCTCCTTTTGCACATGCTTCCAAAAAAGCCCATTGGTTAGTATCTAACATGCTATTAACAGAAGTCCTAGTTCACTACAGTAGAATAAAATATATGCTTCTAATTTTGTTTAAAAGTAAAAAAAAAAAAAAACTGGACTGCATTTAGTTAAATATTATAACATTTAAGGGTATCATAGTATTTTATATAGTTTAATAGTTTTTGATAATAGTATTTAAAAAATCCAGCTTAACTATTGTTTCTTTTGAAATAATGAAAATAATAAATGTGGTTGTTCTGTAAGGTCTTCAAAAGCTTGTTAGCTATCATAAATTACCCTGTTAACTTCTGACATATTTTGTGCAATCTAAAATACCCTTGTCATATCTGAATTTTAAAATCCATCACTAACTCTGCTGTTTTATCTCTGCCATGATATTGTTCTTTAAAGGTGGAGGGTCATCAAGCTGCTCTTAGCAACACAAATTCCACCACAGATGGTAAATATAATCATCAGTGAAATTCAGTGAAATTCAATTTCAACTAAAGGAAAAACTTGCCATTCACCATAAATGAGTGAATGCCTGAATTTTCCCTCTTCACATGGCAGAAGGACTGAATTTATCCAGAAGATATCAGTTGGCATCACTTCCCGGTTCAGAACTACAAATCCCATATCAAAGCATAAAATTAAGGATGTAAAAATCTGTTCGCCCTATATGAAGCATGCACTGCAGCCAGAGAGGCGGTCCGTCTTCTGAGTTTCCCATAGACTTGTGTGGAAATCAAAACTACTCACTGTTTTTTTCTAGTTTTTCCTTAAAAGCAAAACAATACATTTCAAAAGTAAACTTGATTTTGTGGTGTTTGTGTGTGTTTTAACCAAGTTTTGTGTTGTTGATTTAGTCGGGGAGATGATCAAAGTCTTTTAGAATGGGAATTGTATTGTATGACACAGACACAATAATGAAATTATTCAGTAATTCAATTTGATTATTTCTTGCTGCTCATTTTTGATTGTTGATGTTTTGTGTGTAGAATATTTATCCCCCAAACATTGCTGGAAGTATTGTCGGAATTTTATTATAAGTTGATTTTCCTATTTTTTTCCCTGCCCTCTGCACAATAGAATAATGTTAATGTTGTGACAGAAATGGCTCATGTACTAAAATCTAGGTTATGCAGTAATAATTAAAGAATTTCTTTTTTTTCTTTTTTGCCACAAGGGAGTGCTGTTGTAATGTGTCTACTGGACATCTTGCAATGCAGAAACCCAGTCACCTCTGGATGTGGAGGGCCTTGCAGTGGTGCTGTCAGCAGGCTGGGTGTTGGCTGAGGTCCCAGGTGACTGCATTGCTGTCCCATCAGATGGAGTCTCCTGAATGCAGGATGGAGTCTCCTCCACAGGGCAGATGATAAACCACCTCTTTCCTGTATGAAGAACTGCAATCAGAAGAAGAAAAAAAATAATAAATGCTTGTATCCAAATAAGGAAATACAATGCAGATTTAAAAGTGACTTTTAAGAACATTCCATGCTACCATTCTGCTGATATACCGGCTGCGGCGCCCCAGGCTGCTGACTCTACAGAAAGATTCACAGACATTAGTTTCGCTGTTACATTTTGGCATAGACTGTGTATTTGTGCAGAAATGAAACACATTCCTACCTCCCCTACCTCAGACATCTGGTTCTGTGGAGGACTGCAGCTCAAAGTAGCGTCTTTTTCATCCCCCATGTCTTCATGCAACATGTCTCCTGCTTTGTCCACAATGTCCTTTAATTGATCAATGAAGATCTCTTTCTCTAATGGCAAGATAAAGCCATTCTCCACCTACAGGCATTCGGTTTTGAAGATTTTATTAAGTCATAAGCAACAAATACTAAAATACATAACTTTGAAATGACTAAACTGACCATGTAGGTGGCAATTTCTTCTGGAGCATCTCCATCCAGGTCAAACTTAAATGTTACCATTTTGTGGTTGTGAGTCTCCAGCTGACATTCAACCATTTTATCGCCAGTGTTGCAGACCTATGATGAGAACCATTAGACTTAATTTAAGTTATCACAATTTTTCATTTCTTTATTTTTTTTCCGTTTTCATGCATGACGCTATGACTCACATTGAGCATGCTCAGTTTGGGTTTGCTGGTCCTTTCTTGCCTAGAACGTGTGCGAGCAGACTTGCGGTGATGTTTCCTGGGTTTTACGTCCCCTTTGCTCCCAGTTGCTAAGCTTTCATAGCCATCACTTGTTTCCCTTCCTGACGCTACATCAGAGTTAAGACTATAAAACGAAAAAATTATAAATAAAAAAATCCAGTCCCTCTTTAGATGTTATCATGTTTAAATTCAACTTACCTGTCATAGGTGTAACTGGATAGTGATAAAACCCTCTCATGATGAACATCCTGAAAAATAAAAAAAAAACTTGTTTACCTAACTAGCTGTAAATTTTCACTCATGAGTTTACCAATACTAGTCTATTTTATTTCATTTGGGTTTCACTGATCTCTATATATTTACTGGATTGCTGATAGGCCGTTGGTACTACATGGTGCTGTGACATCCCCAGCCACCATATTGGTAAACATGTAAGCAATAAGTGTGCTACAGCATCAAACAACAATGGTGTTCTCATTTTCAGGGGGGCTTAAGACTTTTAAAACAAAGATAAAAGCATCACTTTGACACACACTTGCTGTTTCATAGCATCAGTAGATTACTGTTATTTATGGTTAAAAAAATAGCACATCGTATTGCATATTCAGTATGAAGTCTTTGAAGTCTATAAAACATGTAACATAACATTATACAAATCCATCACAACAACATTAGTGTGTAAATGGAGCATAATAATACTACCAGATATTTTACACACACTGTCTGATGATGTGTCAAAATGCTAAATTAATTATGTACATGTAATATACATGTATTTATTACATTTTTATGGTAATTACATTACATTACAGGCATTTTTATGGCATAACTCCGTGAAAGGTGGGAGTACCAAGATGGCGGCAGGTGACTTCATTTTTTAAGCCTTTCAGCTATCTGTTAAATATATAGAGATCAGTGGTCTTTACTCATATAGTTGAAAACTTATTTTTGCACATTATGCAACAACTAAAATGAATCTTAAAAAAAAAAAAAAATTGAAAGGATTTTTGTGCAAATTTATGTCAAAACATGGTTAAACTTGTGCATAAAAATCTCTTTGCCAGGATAAATATATCTATTTTTGTGTAGCAATTAACAAAGCTTTGTTGACATGACATGATATATGTTATCAGAAAAGTACCTCTTATTTAATTGTTTGGTTGTCTAACAAAGTTCTGGTTTTAAAAGCATCAAAAGGCCTAAATTAGTAGAACCTTACAGGGTTCTCTTCTCACACATTTTTCATGTCAAAATCCCACTTCTTTTTAATTTTTAGGAAAGAAGGAGGGAAGAAAGGCAGGCAGCAAGGAAGGAAGGAATGAAGGAAGCACGGAAGAATGGAAGGATGGATTGATTCCTACCTCTACACAGGTCTCCTGCCGAAAGGGAACAGATGATGTCTCTATATTCTGACTGGCACTCTCTGACACTGGGACTGTTGTGTCGATGCCAGCGGTCTGTAGACTGGAAGCTACAGCAGGTGCCGTAGCCTGAGCTGCAGACAGAGTGACAGGAGCTGGGTTTGCTACCAAGCCTTGGGTGATTTGTTGTGCACCTGAGCTCACACAAGAGACCATTGTGAGCTCTACAGTGAAACTGGAAGCTGATACTGGTGCTTGAAACTGTGCTGAGGCCATAGTTTGCATGGATTTCTGAGCTTGTGTTGGAGTCTGAGGTGCAATAGAAGCCTGAGCTGACCCCGGGCCTGGAGCTGAAGTTCTCATAGGAGCTTTAGCATCAAAATGAACAACAGTTGAGATGGATATTGAGGTGGGAGCTTGAACTGGAGAAGTTTCAGATTCTTGATCAATTCTACCTCCCCAGATTGGAGTCTGTTCAGAAGTGAAGATGGGGGGTGTTGTTTCTGAAGGCCGAACATCTCTCAGAGTACCATGGGTAGCAGTCACCTATGAGATGAACAAAATAACCATCACGTTTAGGTAAATGTAAAAAAAATTTGCTTTAATTAGCTTTCTACCAAATCTCCGAAGGCATGCCCTGCATGCATTACAACCAACGGCACAGACACCACCTTAGTGTTACAGATTTCTCAACACCGAGCCATTACAGTGAGAACGGAGTGAAATATTCACCTGGACAGGCTGGCCAGCCAGTTCCTGCTCAGGGTGGGGGACAGGGAATGGGGTGGGCTGTACCTGAGAGAAAGTTAAGAGCTGGGTGGAACGGAAGCTATTGGTGAGGTGCTGAGACGTAGACACGCCACCCTGCTGGTGTGACACTACTGGGGACTTGGCTATTCCGACATGAGTAAAAGGGAGTGCCAAACCAGGCACACTTTGAGGAGAGGACATGGAAGTCTGAGGAGTGCCAAGAGAAGGTATGGATGTCAGCGCTGTGTGGGGGGTGAGAGGAAGGGACGGAAGGTGGGTTGAAGGTGAGTAGTAAGAGGCAGAAATAGTAGTGTCGCTGCTACTGTAGTTGGAAGGAGCAGGGGAAAAGGGAGCAGGTATTTGAACCACAGGGTATGGGGAGGGAAACTGGGAAAAAAAAGGGAAAATGAAATAAAATGAATGAAGACAGCGGGTACATACAACATTCAGACATGTCGTTTGACCTTTACTGCAATGCTGCATTGTAGTGTGTGTTACAGTATGGCATTCTTTACTCTGGTTTCTAGTCTATTTCTAACACAACACACCTGAGTGCTGATGGGCAGGGGCAGAAGAGGGGGAGGAGCGCTGCAGAGTGGAAAAGTGCCAGAGGTATCAGGAGGACTCAGATGTGATGAAGGCGGCTCAGCAGAAAACAACTAAGGAAGCAAGTCAAATATTGTTTTCTTTTTATTGAAAGATGCTCTTTTCAAATTAGAAATCCAAACAAAATTTTAAAAGTCAGGATTTGTTGTCAGTGTTTTTCCCGTTTAATGTTAAGCTTGTAGGAAAAATCACATTATTTAAGAAAAATAGAGAAGTCAATATTAATCAGTGAGGCTTTAGAACTGCATCTTTAGAGGCCAATTTATCGTAGTTTCAATTTTTTAATATACATGTACACCAAAGAATGTTAGTGTCTGGTTTAAGACATGTGAACAAATCCTCAAGTGAATCTTTTTATGCTGCACGACATCCCTTAGCTAAAGATAAATTAATTTAAAAGTTAAAAGACCAACCTCTAACAAAGAGCGTATCACTTTAATAAACTAAAAGTTTGATCTTTCAACTTCTATTGAGCTTTAGAATAGGGTACGGCAATGGAAAATAAATGTATTTGATAATTCTTTCCATTTTTTTGCATGCAATTACAACCAACACACTAGAAGAAGCAGTAAATGTTAAGGGTGCTTGAGCCATATTAACCCAAAGGCATAATGGACACAGCCTGGTTAGCCTGGTCAGCCAGACTGACTTATGCTTAGACCGAGGTGTCAGTCCTGAAAAGAACCTGGTAGAGCCCGATTTAAAAGGACTGACAGAGTGCGTGGAAACAGGTTAAAAACAATCAGACAAAAATAAAAACATAAAAAACAAGAAAGAAAAGATCTGGAGCCAGCTCTTGGCATTTTAAAGATCTATTGGGGTAACAGTGCGTCAGATGCAGGAGTTCTCCCTGCATTACCAGCGTAAGTCGGTAGCCCTGCAACCAAGGGGTCGCTGGTTAAAACTCCAGATCCAACTTTCAATGATGTTGTGTCCTTGGTCAAGAAACTTCGCCTACATTTCTTACCAATGGTGATCAGAAGGCCCAGTGAGGCCCCTGTACGGCAGATGTGCTTTTGTCAGTGAGCCCCAGGGCAGCTGTGGCTATAATGTAGCTTGCCACCATCAGTGTGTGACTGTGCGCGTTAAGGGGTGAATGACTGAATTTATTTTAAAGCCCTTTGGTCAAGTCTCCTCACTTGAAAAAGCGCTATATAAGTACAGGCCATTTACCATTTATATATCTGAACAAAATAAAGGGCATAATTAAAAAATCCATCCGTTGCAGCTGTTGTATTAGCATTGTTATTGGTCAAGGGCCATATTTATCAAACTCCTTAGAATTGAGAACACTTTTAGGAGTGGACTTAAGAGCAAAGACTTCTAAGTTAAAAGTTGGACTTAAAGTTATATATCAAGTGCCTCCATCACGCTTTTAACAAAGTTTAGGCCAATACCATCTTCTAGTGCAGGGGTCGGCAACCTGCGGCTCTGGAGCTGCATGTGCCTCTCTAGCGCCCCCCTTGCGGCTCCCTGGAGCTTTTTCAAAAATTCATGAAACATTTTTTTTTGTTTTTTTTTATTTTTATACTTTTTTTAATTTTATAAAACTTATTATATTTTCCAATGCTGGAAACAATTGTATAATAAATAAATTTAAACAATAAATGTAAACAGAGATCAGTGGTCAAAGCCTGCAACATGACTGTATGATCTGGTTGAACTGTAAAGTGCCTTGAGATGACTTGTGTTGTGAATTGGCGCTATATAAATAAACTGAATTGAATTTAATAGAACATACTTTTCAGTGCGGCACAGTACCAGGCAAACAAGGCGGTGTGTGTGTCTCGGACCATGAATCCCAAAAGGAAAAAAAAAGGAAGATTGCTGATGAGAACAAAGGATTCAAAGAACAATGGAGCAAATAATTTGCATTCATTATCATTTCCTGTATTTTTGCTTTGTAAAGAGAGTTTGTCAAAAAAATAAAAACAGTAATTTGCAAAGGTATCTCCAGGTAAGGCATGCTAAATATGCAGCCGATCACAAAGTTAGTAGTGAGTGAAAAAGTGCTATTGCAGAACTTCTGGATAAATGAGAGGAGCGCAAAGATAGATTTAAGTGGTGGATTGCATCTCCAAACTCCACTATAGCTGCTAATTTTGTTGCAAGCATGGAAAACAGTTCAAAGATCTTACAGGTAGTACTCTGATGCAGGGATGTGAACTTTCTACCATTTTTTCCCCCAAATCCTAAAAAATAAAAGTTACACCAAGGAACGCTGGTGACGGAAGATTTTGGGGTTAAAGACCACTGCTCTGGTGGATGTCAGTTCCTGCTTGGTTCCTCATCACTCAATCAACTCCTGCCAACAGAAACACGTCCACCATGAAAAGATTATTTTATCGTGTTTCTATAATTTCACCAATGCAACAAAACCTAAACCGCGTGGTGAAGGGTGATGAAGCTGCGGGCAGTTAATTCCATGCAGTGAGAGCGTTCACTGCTCCTCCCTCACCGCATGCTACTATGTCCCATCCATCCTTCTGTCCAGCTTTATTGCAGCTGGGGTCGTGAGGGGTGCTGGTGCCTATTTCCAGCTGACTGTGAGTGAGAGGTGGGGTATACCCTGGACAGGTCACCAGTTAAACATTTACTCATGAATGCTTATTATATATTTAAACCCACGTAGTCCTTTTTTTATAGTGGGCTAATACACTTAGCCTGTGTTGCCATACGAGGCTTATATAAGACTTTTAAATTTTTGCGGCTCAAGACATATTTGTTTTTTAGGTCCAATATGGCTCTTTGAGCAGTTTGGGTATCAGACCCCTGCTTTAGTGACATCTCCTACCGACTTTAGACGACCCTAGAAGTTTCTTAAATATTTGGAGTTGGAGTGATTCTGAAGTCTTGAGAAAGTTGATAAATAGCTTTTATTCTTATGTTTGAGAGTAGGAGTTAATTCCTCAAATTCTCAGCACTTAGGACTGAATGTTATTCTAAGATGCTTGATAAATACGGCCCCTGATCTGTTCTGGACCAGAGATTCTTGACTTACACAAGTCAGTTTAGCTGGCCAGGCTGACAGAAGTTACCAGTTTGTCCTGCTTGGTGCAGATGTAGGCTAGAAAAAATATTAATTCAAGCTTAATGAACCGTTGAAAAGGAATTCTGCTTTAAACAAGCTCGACAGTCTAAAATGCCCCACTCTGAAACAGGTGAGGTAATGGACAAACTAATTTTAAAACTGTTATCCTGTGTGCTTTTTTCACAGTGTGCTAGTCTACCTGAGATGGGACGGCAGCTGGTTGGAGATGACACTACAGGGAGAGGAGACAAATGGGAAACAAACACAGACCACATAAATAGAGTGTTGCAAACAAACTGGAGCACACAGAGCACGTACTCACCAATAAAGAGCTGTGTAGCAAAAAATAAAATCTCTTATTTTTTTAATTTATAGACTTTTTAAAACATATCTTTGTTACATTGTTATTTGACCAAAATCAACTGCATACTGGCTATAAGAACGTTTAGCTGTATACATTTCTGAGAGGTAGTCACACAGGTCTACACAGGTCCAGATGCTGAAAATGGTGTTCGGATAGAGAATATCCTCTAGACTAGGGGATATACCAAATGGTATATCTGACATTGCCTCTATTGGATGGTGGATTTGTCTTCCTTTCTCTCTCAGATGAATTCAGGATCATTCAGTCATTCTCAATCTTGGGGTCCCGACCCCAATTGGGGTTAAAAGATGACATCTGGGGTTGCCAAATCATTTTGGAAAAGCATAAATGCACAACATTAATGTAGCTTCTGACCAGACAGTAGAAGGACGTCGAGCGGGTGGTCTCAAACAGGCAGCTTATCACTTAAAACCAGTTACCGTCGGGCATAACTAGACTTCACCAAAACAGGCTTCACCGCATATCTGTTCGAATTTTTCTATAATGACATCCATAAAATAAACAAATGTGGATCAGGACTCTCATAGGTAACAGTGATCTCAACGTGGCCGTGTCTAACATAAAGCCAGGATTGCAGCAGGCCCAGGCATCACATTAAATATCCCTGTTTTTGACTAGGAAGTTATTTTTATATATCTAAACTCTCATAACCTTACATTTTTAAAATTAAACATGGATGGTTTTCTTGTGTGTGTCAGGACTCCTGTCTGTGTGTTTGTGTTCTGTGTTTGTCTCCCTTCCACCAGGAGGCGCCTGGTTCTGGTCCGCCTCCTCACACACCTGCTGATGGTTTCCTTGTTAACGGAGTGTTATTAAGCTGCTGACTGCCACTCCCTCCACGCCAGAGTGTTTGCCAGTTTTGGGTACTCTAGCCAGGCTAAGTTGAGTGAAACTGAGTTCTTGTCAACCTGAGTTTTAACATTGTTTTTGTCTTTGCCTCTCGGCAGGAAGTCATCCTGCAAACTGGATTTTTAGGACCTTCTCTCCCTGGAAGGATCATCTGAGCTTCAAGCTGAGCTGGGGTTACAAACAGGAGGTTTGGACCCACTTTCCCCAAGAGATCGTTTGAGCTTCACACTGAGAAAGGGATTCATCTCCACTACGACCCGTTCAAGTACCGCAGGAAATCTGAGGGGCAGTCAGCTTCTCCGTTCACCTACAAACTACCGCATTCTGGGTAAACCCTGTTCCACCCTCCACCAAATCAGACAAACACTGGAACAACAGCATACAGACTGGAGTCAAAGATTCAACAACTTCTCTGGGAACGTGAGTCAGGAACCAGATCCTCTTCTCCAAGTTCACGAATCAAATTTCCCACTGAGCCTGAACTAATCGCTGTGTCTTCCCCTCACTTTTCAGTTCCGGTTGAGCAGTGTTCAGAGCAACACTTCTCTCTGCATTATCTCTTCAATAAAACCTGTTAAACCTTTTTCTCCTGGTCTCCCTGTTTGGCCTTCAGCATTTGGGTCTGAACTTTAAGTAAAATAATGACAGTGTGTTTTGTTAAAGTTTAGCACAATTTGTTATCATTCATTAAAAAGAACAAAGTTTGCGTTAGGTTTTTTACATTTTAACACAAAGTGATGTGATTTAGCAACCATTGTCAGCTTGCTTAGAAAAAAGAAAAGCCCAGAATGTTTCAAAGTTAAATAATAAAAAAACAAACAGCTGAAGTGAGTTCAAAAGTGCTTGTAAGATTATGTAAATGCAGCGTATAAATATAATTATTGGGATAGGTGGGGGTCGTGGGCATTAGTGCGTGTTAAATTGGGGGTTGGGACTCAAAAAGGTTGAGAATCACTGATTTAGAGTATGATGTGTTTAGTACCTGCTCCTGGTTGCACTGGACAGAAAGTTGTGCCTGTGGGGCTGCGGCTGGAAAACTCTGTGATGTCTGTCTGCTCTGCTGCACAGGGGGAACTGGTGTAGCTGGTGCGGAGACTGTCTGTCAGAAATACAATCAAAAGACTACATTTAATGAAACTTTTTTCAGCAATATGATTTGTATATCTTTAAACAGATATCAGAAAATGTAATTAGAGTTTTACAGTAGCAGCTGTTAACAGCATGGAACTAAGGGATGATTTTAAGGGTAAGACAGGTTGCATGTTTAGTATGGGAAGCATATTCAAAGAGGAAAGTTGCAACACTGGTTAAGTTAGCTATAAGAGGAGCAACGAGCTGAGCCACTGCTGTGGATTAAGCATTAATTGAAAACTTTTAAAAGATGTAAGCTGCAAGGGGAATCAGGAAGGATGCTGATGGATGCAGCTGTGCAGGATTCAGCCTACATAAATGCCTCCTTTTCTAACATACCATGGGCTCTGCTCTGCCTTCGCTGCAAAACGATGGCAGCACCGAGTTGTCATCAAAGTTATGAAGAAGCGCTTCCAGGCTCTGGCTTTTACCTTTCTGTTCAGTTACAGTGGAATTAGTTTCCCCAGAGTTGCTCTGAATGGAGTGTTTTACAGCTCCTCTATCAGGGAGGGTGGGAGAGCTGGTTCTGCGTCTGACGATGTGATGCAGACAGAAGTTGAGGAGGCTCAGCTCTCCACCTTCATACAAACTCCGTGGAAACACAAGTGATGAAGGAGTGGAATGACGTGAAGCTGAACTAGCCTTGCTTGGCTCGCTGTTTGGTGAAGGTGTAGCAGATGACCGGAAAACATGTGATAAAGTGGCCTGGGAAGACCTTAACAAATGCAAAGACGTAGATGAGTCTGAAGTAGATGTGCTGGAAGTGCCTCTGTGCACTTGCCCTGGCCATTCGCCTCCCCTTATCTTGTCTTTAGAGAGGAGAGACATGCATGCATTGCACTTATGACTGCGCCGATGGTGCTGTGGGCTGTGTGGCACGCTAAGACGATGTACTGAAGGAGGCTGTAAATTTATGGTCGGATGAGTTGTATTTGAATGAGCTGCTGAGTCACAGAGAAAAAGCTGTTGGGGAGGCAAGAGAGGAGATAATAAAAGTAAGGGATTCTTGGCATTGTTTGAGGATAGGTAATGTGGAGCATGAATTTGACTGTTTGAGCCATTGGAAGAGGACAGATCTTCGATCTTTATCTTAGAGAGTGAGTGCGTCTTGCATTTTAATATCTCAACTGAGGGGGCACTGCCACGCCTAAGACACCCTGTGCTCTCAGTGGCGAGCGGGTTCACATGGCATACAAAAGGATCACTGTAGTGGAGCTGATCAGGAATCAGTCCAGAGAAGAAGATAAAAAGTTAGATTTCTCCAGAAAAAATGACAAAAAATATTTTTTTGTAGAATATAACTCCTAAAAGGAGGTGAAGTAAAAATATAACTGCAAATACTTACCGTTTGACACTGACAATGCCCCTGGTGCAGTTGCGTTGCTTGCTGTCGGAAGGGCCCAGGCTGCTGCTGACCTGCAGTAGGTTGCTGTGGGTAGGCTCCCTGGTGTAGCTGGGTGGTGGTTTGTTTGTTGTTTTCATTAGTGGCCTGTCCTGCAGATTGCTGGTAGGGTCCTGGGTGCAGCTGGGAGTCAACTTGAGAAGGGGGACTGTAGAGGGTTTGCGCACTAGAAATGGATTCTGGAAGCGACTGGTAGAGGCCATTCTGCTGATTGCCTAAATCATCTAATTGCATATTGGAGCTCACTCCACTATCAGCTGTAACATCAGAGAAAATGAAACACTGTAATTCATTGAACAACAACACTGTAGGAAGAACACATAGTAATAAGAGGTAGATTGAGGCTTTAATTGAAATTTTTATTCTGGTGGTTATGGTGTCCGATTGCCTTAATTTGGTTTCACTGCCCTTTGTTCCTATTATTTTATTTCTACTTCAGGTGTGTTCTGGCTTTTTCAAGATATTCTGTTTCATCTCAGGACGCCTGAGTTTTTATATCTGCTACACCCAACACCATAGATTGAGGTTGCGTCATTATAGCATCATTATGGTGTCTAGTAAGTATCCACATCACTAGAACATTTTCACTTTTTTTCAAATTACAATCATAAACATCTATGTATTCTATAATTACACATTTTAATTTCCTTAAGTGTAAATTTTTTACATTTTTTTGAGTATACCTTAAGAAGTACAGCTTAAGGTTTGTCACCAGCTATGTAGGGGAAACGGCTAACGTGAAAATAGCTAATGCCAAAACTTAAAGAACTAAGGCCAAAACAGTCCAATTCATGTAAAATAAAACACGCTTATCTGGAATATTTTACTCTAAAAACATCATCTTCACACCAGCTGCAACCAGATACTGCTTAATGTTAAGGTGACAACCTATGGCAAGACTTGAAATCGGACGTTTACAGTAAAAAAAAAAATAATAATAATAATCTATATGCAAAGTTAGAAGGAAAACTTGCAAAAAAGAAAGGTGATTTGACAAAGTATTGACTGTAAGGCAGATAAACATAAATGCACACCATCCAAATATTTCTGAAAGTTTTCAAAATGTTACTATCCTTTTCCCTCTTCACACATAAACTATACACATAATTTGCTGGTCTGTCAGATAAAAAAGCAAAAGTAGAATATATTGAAGCTCATGGCTGTAACCATGTGATGAAATATGAACAAGTTCAAGGACTAATACTATTTATGCAAGGCACTGAAGGCATAATTTTTCCTTTGTTTCTTACATGTGGCAGATGTGATGACAGGAACAGTGCAGATCAGAGTTTCTTGGTCCTCATAATCTGCAGTGGTAAATATGGTCTCCTCAGGTGGACCAGTACCAGGGACCTGCAGGAGGTTCTGCTGTAGCTTCTTCACTTCACTGTTTCCATTTGGTGAACCAGTCCTTGCCCTTCTCCATTTTATTAGAGCCACACGGTCTCTGATAGACTTCCCAACTATCTTTACATCACATTCCAAGAAAAATCCTGACTCCACCTACATTAAACAGGGGAGACACTCTTTAAAGCTCAAATTAAATACACAAAGGATGAACTGAACACTGTGTAAAGTAAATATATATTTTGTCATGACCAACATAAAGCACAATCCTTCTGTATGCTTTTGCAAAATAAAATAAAAAGACTAATTACTGGTTCTATTACCATTTCTTGAGCAACCACTTCTGGAACTTCGTTCTCCAAGTCGAAAGTAAACTCAATGGCACCAGTATCCTTATATTTCCCCTTCAGTTTTTTAGGGTCTTCAACCCACAGCTTTAATGCAATGGTACATTTTTGTCCATCATCCTCCTCATTTAGCTCAACCCTTACTCCTGTGTCTTCTGCAAAATAGGCATGATTCAGGAGGTCCTTGATGGAGTACCTGCAGAAAATAGAAAAAAAGATCAGTCATTGTTCAGCACAACAGACCGTTACAGGGACAACACATCCTCTAGAATAAGATCGGTCCCAAATACGGGCATTAACGTCACACCGCTAGAGCAGAAAGAAAATACAACACGAACATATGCATCTGCCCTCACTGCCTGCATAAGGAAGGAGTCTCAGATCTTGCCAAAACCGCTGGATAACTCACCTTTCCTCCCATCTGTGGCAGATACACTCGCCAATGATTTCTTTAATTTCTGGGTCACTGACTTTGCCGTAGCTGGCAGGTTTCACTCCCTGAAAAACAAACCAACATGTCTGATCCCACTAGCAAATAGTTTAGAGTAAAGGTATACATTTGGGATAAAAGGTTTCGGTCAGACAAAAATTGGTGGTTACTGTTTGGAAACGTGAGACAATACTGCTTAATCTCACATTAAAGTTACATGAAAATCTACAATCAACTTTTTTAACAGAAAGGGATTTTGATTTTGATATATAATTTAACAAAATATATATTTTAAGAAATAATATTATGTTCCAGAAACTTGCAAGATATGCTGTTATACCATTACTGTGCTTATTCTGACCAAAACCCTTTGAATAGCTATGCATACATATTAAAGTGTTGCTAAAACTTTTCAAGCCATAAAAATGAAAACATTCTTAGATATTCTTTCAGTGCCTATACCTTCATTTTGACTTCTGCCTATAGATTGAGGTATATGTTATCTAGAGTAATGGAGCCATCTGTTCTTGAAAACTTTAACAACAGGGTTGTGAAAATTTCGATAATATTTTGGCTAATAATGAGCAATATGTGCCAGAAACACATACTGACTAAACTATTTGTGAACTTCTAATACACATAATGATGGGAGTATTTCTGTGGTACTGACTGAAAGAATTGATTGAAACAGACAAAAGAAACAACTGCAGTCTTTTCCCTTCTAATCCCACGTAAAGTACTAAATGTATACATCCACAAAGTGCATGAGTTTAATTACACACATTTGTATTTCCTTGTCATTTTTGCAAAATATAAAAATGTAACAGCAGTTAATTTTTACATTTAGCACTTTTTAAACACATTTCTAAAAAAACAAATGGAAGAACAAAAACTTTGAAAGAAGCGTGGAAATAAAGTATAGTAGGATGATTTTTTTTTTTTGCCAAAAAAATACATTTAATGCTCAAAACTGTACCATTTATGAAAATCTATGATCTATTCTATTAAATTTTATTCTGCATCTCAAAAAATGAACTTACACTTGTGACTTTGCGGTAGATCTGGGCAGCATTCTGACACTCAGAGTAAGGATACTCCGAGGTGGCCATCTCCAGCATGCACATTCCAAAAGCATAAACATCCACAGCCTCATCATAGTGTTCCTCATACATCTCTGGAGCCATAAACTCTGGAGTACCTAAAAAATATATAAAAAATAGGGACACAGATTAGGTATATAGACTCAAAAAGTCACATGTGTTTAGAATCAGCAGAAAATCGGTATGAATGCTAAATGTCAGGCATTGATGTTTTTCAATTATATTCACTATTTACTAGAAATAACTATATTCTGTTTTTCAAAGAAGACCAGAAGCAAATGAGTTGCAGTTTCATGACCAAAACTATAACCAGTGGGCAAAATTAGTTTTACTAAGAAACTTCAAAGCAATTCGAATTTCTAAAACATAAAAGTTAAAATTTTTGGTATCATTATTTGAAGTAATATCGGTACTAGTAGTACTTTTTTACTTACATCTTTCTCGATACATTTTCAATTTCAGTTCAATCAGAATTTTATTTAGCTGAAAATAGCACTATATGCTCTGGTTGCATCCAAGGAAAATTGACACAGACCACAAGCTTTAAAGCTTTGGCTTTCATTGGATCACAGCAAAACTCCATAAGTTAAAAATGTAAATAAAATTAGACAGATTGAGATTAGCCGACTGTTAAGGGCTGCCGCTTTGTAGTGTTCTGTCAACTCTAGGTTCATATGGCAACAATATCTTCCTGGTAAGGACCCATGAGAATAGCCGTCTTCTTCCAGGAAGTAATAACTCATAACAGCCTTCTGTTAATTTGTAGTGGCTTTTCCACTAAAGGCAAAATGCTTGCCACTATGAAACAGTTATGGAGTCATCTCAAATGTCTGGGTGTACATGCATGTACATGACGTTGACAGACTCGTATGTTTTTGTCTTTGACCCACTCTTCAGCAGTACCCCTGAGTCCAAACTACCCCTCCCTCCTATATCGTAATGCTATTGGGAATATCTGAACCAACTATAGAAGTAGTAGAGTTACAACCTACCAATATGTACTGTAACAATAATTTACTATGGAGACTTTTTCGGTTTTACTTTGAAACAAACTCTATCTAATGCAATCCTTTAATTTGGCTCCTTCCAAAGTGCTTTTTGACCTCTTAAAATCTAAAGGAAGATATTATTTATTCAAAATCTTTTTTTTTTTAAACTAGAAAACAACTTTTCCTCATTACCAATTTAACAAGTTTATAACAAATAACATGTTGTCACATCATTTTTCTTTTAGTTTTTCACCAATCTGTACATGTTCTTTTTCAAAGTTAGCATTCATCTGTTAATTCTTTCTGCTGCAGTACAAACTAAACCAAGTTAAACTACACTAAAGGAAGAATTAGCTACAGACTAACCAATAACACTTTTGGCAAAAGAGGCCCTCTTTAGGGTTGCTAGTCCAAGGTCTCCTATTTTGACAGAGCCGGTTGGACCAGTGATGAAGATGTTGTCACATTTGAGGTCTCTGTGGATGATGGGAGGAGTCCTTGTGTGCAGGAAATGGAGGCCTTTCAGAATTTGCCGACACCACCTCCTCAAAACTTTGGGCTTCATAACCTTGAAGCGCTTTAGATACCTTCAAGGGGATAAAAACTTTGTTAAAAGTGCATCGGCTCATGGTAAATAAATACCATATTTTTCTGAATGAAGTGAAAGAAAGCAAAAGTGTAATTTCTTTATAGCTGTTCAATACAGTGATCAATAAATAACCAACTGATCAAAGGTTAATATACTTTTTATTAATTCCTCAAACTGTTTTATAAATAAATCTTTCAGGGTTGCTCTCAACGAGTTGTGACATATTCAACGTGCAAACATGCATTACACTAAGGCATTAAAAGACCATAATTCAATAATTTTTACAGACGCTTACTTACGTCTTCAGTGTCCCTGAGGTCATTAGCTCTGTCACAAGAACGATGCACTTCTTCCCTTTCAATGGTGATTCCCAGAAATCATAGAATCGCACAATGTTGGGATGCTGCAATGCCTTTAGCATTTCTGCCTCCTCTTTGAACCGCTGCCTCTCCACTTTGGATAGTTTCCTTTCCTAGGAAAACAAAAATAAATATTGTTCTTAATGTTTTTGTAGAATCTCACTCGTCCTTATGCTAACACAATAATACACTAGAATATAACTTAAAGACTAGTTTACATTGCTAATATAAATGAAAGAAGTGAAAAAGAGAACCTCAAATATAAAATAGATCCAATGCATAATAGCTACAGTGCAACATACAAGTATACAGTTTGTTGAAAAAATATGTATTATTTAAATGATTGTTATATCAATTTTAAATGGTCCAAATATATGAATATTTACTTCTGGTTATGATGCCGACATTGATAAGATTCTGCCCCAATAGGAATAGTAGGTTGAAGTACGTTTAGATGGAGCGCAGGCGTTGCCAGATCCTAGCAGCTCTGAAAAAGTTCTGAGAAATTGATTATTCTAGGAGTTAAAATTCTTAGATTTAATCCCAAAAAAAAAGGAGGCTGGAATTCAGTCAAGCTGATGAGCACTGGTTCCAACATCAGGAGAAGCAACAGTAAGTGTGCCACTTACTGGCCAGGAGGAGTTAAACTTGTAGCTATTACCTTTAAAGCATTGATTCCCACAATAATTGATGACTATGATTAATAGATACTGAAAACCCAAAATTCAGTTTCACAGAAGTTAAGAATACTTTATAAAGCCATAAAAAAATCAACACAGGGTAGGGGAAGTCCAAACCTTAAGACCTATGAGCCTACAACTTTTGGATACATTCCTGCACAAACACTTTTGATTCAGATATAAGGTTACCAGGCCTCTGCAGAGCTGAATGACATTCTGATGGGAATTCATCCATTTGTTTCAGGTGTGTTGGAGCAGGGATGCCTGTAAAGGTTGCTGAGCAGAAGCTCACTGAGACAGAATCTCGGAACCCCTTAGGTTGATCATTTACTAACAAGCACATCACAGGGAGCTGCAAAGGGCCTTTACTAAGGAGACTGGCTGTTCATAGACAGCTTGTATCCTGGCATATATGTAGATGGGAAATCAGGTTAGAACTGAAGTAAGGGCTAAAAAAATTACTTGGATTAATCGATTATTGAAATACACGTTGAGTAGCTTAGAGCAGTAATTATATCAAAATAAAAAAAAATATATATAGACATTTTGCATTTAAGATAAAAATACATTTTCGTCTGTCAATATTCTCTATCTAGATCTCCTCAAGTGGAAACGCTTCAGTTTCACCTTATTTCATTTCGTTAAAAATCTTCTTTAAGGAACCTTTGGCTGTTCGATTATTAACTGATTACTTGAAATTATCGATAGATTTATCGCTTTGTAAAATAATCTTTAGTTGCAGCCCTAACTGGGGTTGTCCTCAGAGGTTCAAGAGCCATCACCAACTGACCTATCTAGGAAATCGGCTCCAACATTTTCTATTGCTTGTCAAGCAATGTCTCAACAATGGCAAGGACAAAAGTGTTTACCTAGGCTAACAGTAAATGGTACTTGATTGGTGCAAAGTAATCTACTCAACTTGAAATCTATTTTGTATTACATCAGAAAACTGAAGTTCCTGAGTCGGAGGAAGACTGAAGAGAAACGGGATATTGATTAGTTACAATTAAGTGTGACTCACTCTAAAGTCAGTGATAATTTGAAGAGCCACGTCATTTGCTAATGATGATCTAACATTTTATCAAGCTCAAAGTCAACACCGCTGTCCTGTAGGGCAGTTAAGAGCTTTCAATGTATTCCTCTGCTTACGGATGCAGATGAGCTGAAGGCCACAATTAACTCAATCAAGGCTTCCTGAACGCCTGACCTCCACGCTATGCTGCACTGATGCAGTAGTTTGTGCAAAATCTCTATTATGCATCCCTAAAGTGATTCAGACACCCCCCCCCCGCCCTGTAATTGACATTTATGCACTATTTTTACACGCCACGTATCACTTTACTTGGATTTAGTTTTACATATGCATATATATATATATATATATAGAAGAGCTATATGTGTATATATTCTATCTTTTTTGTTTTTATCTTTATTATCTTGTGTAGTTGGATATATATATATATATATATAAAACTGTAACCGGAGCGTGTAACAAAAGTAATTGCCCTCTGGGATTATTAAAGTATTTCTGATTCTGATTCTGAAAAGGAGTCACACAAACCAATCATTTAATGCATAGATTATGTACAGTGTATCAACATGCTATTTAAGTAGGTAGTTTTGGCTTTCATTGACATTCAAATCTCTCAAAAAATGTTTTTGAATTGTAGCCAAAATCAATGAATAAAAATGTAAATCAAGCTTTGAGGTGTGAACTATGTGTCTGAGTAATACATGACCTTCACTTCTGGACTGAATCACTGAAATAAATTAATAAATATGTATCAGTACCGCTTAATATATTCAAACAAGATTGGAGAGTGGTGTTAAAACAACAAAAGCTTTTTATTGTGTCATACAGGTTTAGCATAGTTTGCCTTAAGTTTGGGGTTCCTTCCAGACTGCCTTAAGTCCGTGTTTGCAGTGAACACAGCTTTGGCATTCTGAGGCCGCTAAACATGGGGGTCTGACCCATTTACACTCTTTTCCGGCATTGTTTATAAAACACACAGATCCCAAACAGCTAAATAAACCTACAAGTGGATTCAACACGTATTGAGGATAGACAAGTGAAAGCCCCATTGTTTTGTTTGAAGCTCTAAAACAGACACAGCCATGTCTGCCATGCCTAATAAACAGAGATTTCTTTATAACCTCAAAGCTCAAAGGCATAAACACTAACTCACTCATGCATCCATGTTCAAAGATGTTAAAACTTTAATTTTCTTTCTGTTGTGCACCCGATTGAACGTGTTTCCACTGGATCAATATTTTGACCCCTGCCTTCCCTGAACTGTTGTATAAATAGTAAAAGAGCTGACAGCAAACACTCCCTACATCACTGTTTCTCTGCTGTCAGCAGAGCAGCAGCCACAGCTGCCACCAATTTTTATGTCCCTTCTGGATGTTCTATGCTGCTGTTCTTAAGAGAACATTATAACTAGAAGATTGAGGTTAAAGTAACTGCTTCAAGTGAGTGGGTTGTAAGTTCATACACTGACTCATGGTGTTGGTTATTGACTGAAGCTGAGGAATCAGATTTCACCCAGAACCCACTGTGACCTGTGCATCTGAATGCATCTTACATTATGCAGCTTCTGAAGCCTCCTTTGTGAGTTAAATTCTTACTGAAGAGTGTACATCATTTGTATTTCCTTGTTATTCCATTTTTGGCAGTATGCATGAAATTCAACAAAAATGCTTTAAAGGGAGAAGGTCTACAGTAAGCAGGGTGTGGCATGAGAGCATCTGCTGTACTGAGTGCATAATTCAAACTTACATAGACATCAGAGTGCACACCTTAATTTTAATGCAAGATATGCCTATATTAATAAATCATAAAATATTATCTGTTTTACTCTGAATCAAATTCTGTACATTTAAGTCTATCCTTGGCTGAACCTTTTCTCTGCTAAGTCTTTGTGCAGATGATTGCATCAGCATGATATACTCTCTATGGGATGATACCAGGGGGGTTTAAAAAAGCAAATATTAGTGTGCAAGTACAAGATGCAGATCTTAAATGAGCAATATTAATGAGTGATGTGCTAAATCTGTTCAAGTAGATTCCTTTGGAAATAGTTGATCATTGTTTAGCAGATGAATATCTGCAGAGGCTCATGTTGTTTTTCTTTTATAAGTTTTGATTTACAGATCTTTACAATTTGTACTTTATGCTGATTCATGTATAGAGCCTCTACAAATGTACACAAGTGTGCAGACAATAAAAGAAACATTTGTTGCAGGAGGTTTTTATGACTAACAGGCATAGATGCTTTAAAGGGCACAGCCTTATCTCCAGGGACAGAATTGTTGAATCATCGCTAGATCTCCCCTAAGAACCTGATCAGACTCAGCACACATACTCTCTACATAGAGTATACAGCTTTGCATCCTTGTGAATAATGTACCAATATATACAGATAATGTGTTAATACCTTTTGGAAAACTGTGCAAACAGCTTTTATTTTTTATTCCTAATTATGATTAGAGAAATTGCTTTGCATATATAAAACTCCAGTATCAAAATCGATGAATTAAAGGTTTTATTAGCGGAATTTGCAGAAACAGAAGCATGGTAAAGTATGACTACTCGCTATGGACTGATCTAAGTTTCTTATCTATTTAAAACAAAACTCCTGAAAAATATATCAGCCAGCTAAAATCTTCACCTCAATGGAAAGTAAACCTCTGCTGTTGCCAGTAGAAGATGTGAGATAAGCACATTGTAATAGAGATCTAATTCCAGAGGCTGAAACTGATTGAGTGGGCCTTCCGTTTTTGATAATAATTCCCTGGGGGTGGATGCAGTGAACCTAGCAGGAAGATGGGGGGATGGTGCACATATGGTTGCACCAAATTGATTTAAGAAAAGTTATGGGTATAGGCTTGGATTTTTTTTTTTTTTTTTCCCCCACCATTTTACTACTCTAATAAAAAATATATATTTTTTTAATTCCCTAAATCCAAGGAACCACTTAGCATAAACAAGCAAAAGTCAAACCCCGGTAAAAATTAAACACCATGCAAAATTTAAAGAGATGTCTGCTATATCCCTCTGATTTTACTGATGTTTTACAGGTGAAACTGTAACAGCTGTAACACGCTTTGTCTTTACGGACGGATACAATTTCTTAAAGTCCTGAAAGGGCAGCTGCTGT